AGAGTCCAGCCACACAATCTCTGTGCCATCTGCTAGCCCCTGTTTTTTTAATTTTAATGTGACAGAGAAGTGTCATCTTTGTTTTGAATGTATAACAAAAAACTAAACTGCATAGATTTTTGTGTATGATTATTTTTCTTCTATAGAGTCTTTTAAAATTAAATAGCAAAATGAAGATCATTTTCAAGATCAGAAAATACATATCCAAAACATATGTAAGTACAAATTACCAAGATCACAATAGGGAATTTCTTCTTTTATTTGAGACACTCCTAGAGGAAAACTAGTCTGCGAGACACCATGATGTTTTTTTTTAATCTATGGACAATTATTCCTAAAAGAAACTTTTTTTGAGCATAATATATTTGGTATTTAACTGCTCTTCACTAAAAATATACAGAAATTAACATACCTACTATTGATTTAATCTCACTATTTATCTTCTTACTAAATATTGTTGGCTTTTCACCACTTACATGAATTGTATGATAAGATCTAAAATAACCTGCAGGCTTATTATTTTCATTATGCCTAATAAAATGTGTGTGCCATTCCATGGTCACTGCCACATGACCCAGTAGGGCTTGACTGGTATTTAATCCTTTAAATTTTTTCTTTGTCTAATTCTACTTGACATCCTAATAATTCCCATTGGTACAGCTCTGTAGACTTAAGATAGTTATAAAACCCCAATGCAAATTCTCTATTGCATCACAAACTAATATAAGATATTTCAGAATCTATAATATTCCAACATAGAACATATATTTTAAAGAAAATTTTGGAGTGATGAATTAATTTCCCTTTCATCAAACAGAAGTTACCACTTGTTTGAGAGTATCATTGGACTCCCACAAGATGAGACTTTTAGTTATTCTTCACATTTAAAAGAAATGGAGAAAAAGAAGAAATAAACAAAATCAAACTACTCATCCAGAACATCTGTGGCATTGAGATTCATGAGAACAGAATAATGCTGCAGAAATAGATCAATGGTGAGTTCTAAATTCAGGTGTGTACACTTTCCACACTGTCCCTCAAATAAAACCTCTTGGCACATTTGATGCCTGGCACCACTTTAAATGTTCTAAACCTTTAATTCCACTATTATAAAAAATGAAAATGTCATTATCTTTGGGAGAGTCATCTTCTGGGTTTTAATATGGGCATTATAATGATGACTAATTTATGCTTACATTCTAAACCAAAAATAAAGATGAGGAAGAAAGTTTTTTTTTTCTAAATCACAATATTAAAAGGACAAACTAATAGAATTATTATCAAATATTTACAACATAATGTTATGTTCAATACTGAAGATGTGTATATCTTTAATTCAAATATTATATACTGTATGCATGTCTTAAAAGCTATAGTGTAACCCACAAGATATACATCGATTATATATAAACCATAATTTGAAAAAGTCACAAGTCTGAGGACAGAGACAAACAGTACTGACTCCACAAATCTGCAAAACTTCTGGTTTCCACCCTCAACTGGCATGTGTTTTTTTGTCTGTATGGTCCTAGCATAAAGCAATATAAGGCTTAGTGTTGGGAATCCAATAAACAAATAAATAAACAGGTTTGATTATCAAGCCCTTGGTGAATTAGATAAGAGAAACTTTATCTTTGACTCTTTCTAGAACCTTTATTAGTTCTTACCCTGAAACCTACTCATATTTAAGCAGTTATAATCTCCTCAGGATAACCCCAAAACACAGACAAAAATATACTGACATAATGTCTATGTAATATTTTTTATTAGAATTTATCTGATCACCCAATGTTTTCTTAGTTCAGTTTAAGTAGATGTAAACTCTTAATCATCTCATTTGATCTTCATATTCTCTCTACCATGTGGAGTAGAAAGAGTGGATATATTATTTTCCCATTTATAGAATTTGAAAATACATATTTTGAAAGACTAAATGTACAGTTCTTCAGTTGCAGATATAGAAATTTAGCAAGATAGAAACTCAAACCAAATTTCCAATGGAGAAATACTTTAGACCACAAAGGTACGTCACTTTAGTTATGTTAGTGAGTGAGAAACAACTGTGTGAGAGAATGTGAAGTAATTAATAAGCAGTAAAACTGAATACATTTCAAAAACTGTATTCAAAAGAGAAGTCTTTTCAATCTGTAGAAAAATCTACTGGAATAGCATACATGGACAGCACCTATGAGCTCACTCTTACTCAGAATATTTAAAACAATCCATTATTGGGACCAGCAGATGGTGTAACGGTTATATTGTGGACTTCCACGTAGTAGATCAAGTCTAAGTCCTGGACCCAGTGGCTTAAAACTCACACCAGGCATGTGTGCATGAGTGTCCTAAATCCTGAGAGGGGAATGGAGGAGAGGGGATTGTGGCATGGCCATTCCCCCTGGGGGTGTGGGGGGGGGTGATTTCTCACTTTCTCTCTTTATCCAGCAAGTGCACACACCTATGACAAAAATCTTTTAAAATAAATAAAGTAAATAAAGCAGTATATTATCTAAGAATCAGTGGTAGGGCAGCCATTGAATATAATGAAGTACAAAACATGTAGAGAACACAGTGGAAAATACTCTAAAATGAAGGAATGGGCCAATGAAAGAAGGGGGGAAAGATGATAAGGAAGAGACCAAAGAGAGAGAAAAAGCAAGGGATTAAGCAAAGAAACAGAAAACATAAATAAAATTAAAACAGAAAGGAACAGGATATGAAGAAGCTAAAAGGAAGTATAAAAGTATAATAAGTTACCACAAATGTGGAAATGAGTGTCTGAATATAGAATTAGCAGAATGGTGATGGTGAAGATAAGAAATAAGAAAGAAACGAGGAAATGAATGGGGGAAGATGAGGGAGTGAACTGTATGGGTCATGATCACATCCCACTAATCCCTAAAGATGCTGTGTGTCAGCAGTCTGAGAAAGAAGGAAGGGTGCAGGCACTCTATCTACTCAAGCATTTTCTGTACCAGATGGGGTTTTTGATCACTTGAAATAACAAAGAAGGTTGGAGATAATGAAAATCCTTCAGGTTTCTATCTCAGCACTACACTGACAATATTTTTCTGCCTTTAACTGGAGCAAAAATTGCCCCTGAGAGATCCATTGTTTAGAACATATTTTTAGGAATTTATTTTGTACAGAGGCACATCTCTCCTCAGTCTCTGTGATGAGCCCAGTTTGAGAATCACTGGAATAGAAGACAAATGAGAATAGGCAAAAAAGACAAAGTGGATTAAAGATATTGACTGATATTGAATTCTTCCTATTGGGAAACAGGAATAGAATTAGATAGCATAAAATAACAGTGAAAAGTAATAGACATTGCAGCTCTCATGTACTTCTTGTGTCTAACCATCCTCATTATTTCAGTTAATACAAAAACTCTCCTGGCACAGGAGATACATTGGTAGAGAAGGTGTCCATACCCCTTCCTCTTTCTCAGGGTGAGACATGCAGCCTCTGTAGACAATACTGCACATGCCTAGACTCCAGACCAGTTCCTGGATTGTCAACTTAAAGAAGTATGAATTAGCGGGAACCAGCAGTTAGCGTAATGGCTATGTTGCTGGACTCCCACGTAGTCGACCGCGGTTTGCGTCCCGGACCCGGTGGCTTAAAACTCACGCCGGGCGCGTGTGCGTGCGTGCCCAAGATCCCGAGAGGAGAATGGAGGAGAAGGGATTGCGGTGTGACCATCCCCTCTCAGGGATGATTTCTCGCTTTCTGTCTCTATGTCTCTCTCTGTCTGGCGAGCGCACGCGCCCTATAGCAAAAACCTCTCCAAAAAAAAAAGAAGTATGAATTAGCTATAAGTGAGCACCTGGAAAGCACAATATGTAAGAATAGGAGAGGAAACTTCTGACTTAACTTCCCAAGCTCCATTTCTGCATGCAGAATGAGGTATGAATGTGGCAGCCAGGACAATTCTGTTCTTGTCTAAGTAGCTAAAAGAGAGATAAGAGCTCCTAAGCTAATTTGAAGGTTATTTTTCCTTGTTTCACTTTACTTAGACTCACTGCATGTATGTTTACACATGTAAGAATAGATCATTGTAAGTAAAAATATGTACCCATGTGTCATAAGTACCTGTTCCACAAAATTTTGCTGCTAGTTGCTAATCACATAAAACAAATATTCTAATGATTCCTAACAGGTATGCAATAAAATGACAATGTATTTTCCAAATCTCTCATGATGTCTGAATTTCTCATGACTTCTCTTTATGGACTTTTAAGTATGGTTATTCTTTATTCTTTGTTTCTTTTCTTCTTAGCTCTTTTTTCTAGCAATGTCACTAATAATTTCTATCACATTCCGATTAGGAATTTATCCCCCAACAATCACCCTCCTCCATAATAACACTGTTTAAAAAAATGTTGGGATATAATCAACACATTAAAAACTCACCATTTAAAGTGTACAATTTAATAATTTCAAGTATATTTACTGAGCTTTGCAATTATGAACTTGATATAATGGTAAAACATTTTATCACAGCAGAAAGCTCGTATTCACCGTGTTTATCTCCACCTCTCCCACAGGCCCAGGCAACAAGCCTGCCTCTATAGATTTGTCTCTCTTTTTTTTTTTTTTTTGACATTTTACACGAATCAAATCATGTAGTATGTACTCTTTTTGACCGACTCTTTTCATGTAGTGTAATGTTATAGATATCCATCTATGTTGTAGCATGTACCAGTATTATTATTGCTGAATTAAATTTCACTGTATTCATAGTACTTTTTAAAAACAAGTATTGAATGTAATAAAAAATCAAGGATAACACCTGTGTATGTCATATTATAGTACTTTGTTATGAGCAATGTTTTGTTTTTTAAATCATTTCATTTCAGGGGCCAGATGCAGTGATAATTCAACTGGGAGTGTTGGTTATATCAAATACTGTTTTGATTTAGAGAAGAGCTATGCAACAGATGAAATTGTGGTTTAGGCAAATAACATTCTCTCATTTTTATTTTGCAGAGTGACAAGTGATGGAGACAGAGAACCACACAGTGGTAACAGAATTCATTCTCCTTGGTCTCACCCAGTCTCAAGATGCTCAATTCTTAGTCTTTGTGTTAGTCTTAATTTTCTACCTCATCATCCTCCCTGGAAATGTTCTTATCATTCTCACCATCAGATCAGACCCTGGACTCACAGCACCCCTCTATTTCTTCCTGGGCAATCTGGCCTTCTTGGATGCCTCCTACTCCTTCATTGTGGCTCCCAGGATGCTGGTGGACTTCCTCTCTGAGAAGAAGGTAATCTCCTACAGAGGTTGCATCACTCAGCTCTTTTTCTTGCACTTTCTTGGAGCTGGGGAGATGTTCCTTCTGGTGGTGATGGCCTTTGACCGCTACATCGCCATCTGCCGGCCTTTACACTATTCAACTGTCATGAACCCTAGAGCCTGCTATGCATTAGTGTTGGCTCTGTGGCTTGGGGGCTTTGCTCATTCCATTGTACAAGTAGCTCTTATCCTGCACTTGCCTTTCTGTGGCCCAAACCAGCTAGATAACTTCTTTTGTGACGTCCCACAGGTCATCAAGCTGGCCTGCACTGACACTTTTGTGGTGGAGCTTCTGATGGTTTTCAACAGTGGCCTGCTCACCCTCCTCTGTTTCCTGGGGCTCCTGGCCTCCTACGCAGTCATTCTCTGCCGCATAAAGGGGCACGCCTCTGAAGGGAAAAGCAAGGCTGTCTCCACATGCACCACGCACATTATCATTGTGTTCCTCATGTTTGGACCTGCGATTTTCATCTACACTCGTCCCTTTCATGCTTTCCCTGCTGACAAGGTGGTTTCTCTCTTCCATACAGTCATCTTTCCTTTGATGAACCCTGTGATTTATACACTTCGCAACCAGGAAGTGAAAACTTCCATGAGAAGGTTGTTAAATCAGCACATGCTTTGCTAAATGAAAGGAGAAAATCCAGTTTGAATAAATTATATCACTTCATTATTAATGCACTGAATCAGTCAGTCACTCAGCAAATATTATATTCATTAAGCACATTCAATTCTCAGGCACTATTGTAGGCATGTGAATGAGAGAGATAAGATTACACGTCATAGAGTTACATTCAAGTGCATTAAGATGGACTGAACTATTTCTTTTTTATGAAAATACTTAATATCAGAAAGAGATAGTATTCTGAAGCAAGTCAAAATAATGTTATGCTAGAAATGTACTGAAGGGGGAGGTGGTAATTATCTTAAGTTCAGCTGATACCAAGATAATTTGAAAGAAAAAAATCAGGTAATTGTCTAGGACAACATTCCAAACAGAAAGGATAACACCTACGAGGACCCAAATATATAACAAGCTTGGAACACTGGAAAACCATCAGAACAACAGAGTAGTTGCAATGCAGTTAATGAGTTTGTAAGTGGCAGAAATTGAAGTTGGATAGGTTGGTAGGGACAAAATCTGTAGGTATTTTAGTTTATGTTAAAAAGTTCAGTTTGTTAAAATTTCTTTTTTATTATATTTTTTAAATTTTTATTTCAAGTTCTTTTATACATTCAATCACATTATTTAGCTTGCAAAGTGAATATTTCAACATGTGTACATTTCTCCCCAGTCCAGTTGATAATATTATAAAGTTATCTTCAACAGATAGTACCCCATTTCTTTGTTCCATTAATGCTATAACTCTCTATTTTTCTCCTTAATGTCTTTCCTCAGACTCTACTCCTTCGCCCATCCTCTTCCCACCCTATATCTGGTATTCACAACCATTTACTGTGTTTCTATATCCTTTAGTCATTCAGTTTCAGTCAAATGTCAACACTCGGTATATATTAAGTGGAGACATACAATGTCTCCCCTTCATAGCCTGATTTGCCTCACTCAGCAATAAATCTTCCATATTAATCCACTTTCTATTAAAAGCCAGGGTCTCATTTTTGTTTTTGTTTTTTGTTTGTTTGTTTGTTTGTTTTCTTTTATGGCTGAGTAGTACTCCATGGAGTATATGTGCCACAATTTTTCAATCCAATAATCTGTTCTTGGGCATTTGGGTTGGTTCCATGTCTTAGCAATTGTGAATAATGTTGCAATAAATATTGATGTGCAAGCACTTTTCTGATTAAGAATTCTTCTGTCCTTTGGGTAGATACCAAGAAGTGAGATTGCTGGATCATACGGTAGTTCTATTTGTAGGTTTTTGAGGAATCTCCAAATTGTTCACAGTGGCTGGACCAATTTACATTCCCACCAGCAGTGTAAGAGAGTTCCCTTTTCACCACACCCCTGCCAGCACTTAACATTTCTTGTATTTTAATCTTAGTCATTCTGACTGGGGTTAGGTGGTATCTCATTGTTGTTTTGATCTGCATTTTCCTTACAATGAGGAATGTTGAGCATTTTTTTATATTCATTTGACTATTCATATGTCATCCATAGAGAGTGGGTTTTTCAACTCATCCTCCCATCTTTTAATAAGATTGATGATCTTTTGTTGGGACAGCTGCTTGAGTTCCTTGTACATTCTGGTTATCAGTCCCTTATCTGCTGCATAGTTTACAAAAATATTTTCCCATTCTTAGGGCTGTGAGTCAAACTAATTACTGTGTTTTTTCCATTCAAAAACTTTTTAGTCCAATGTAAAATTTCTAAAAGAGACTATTTAAAGACAATTCTAAGACATGGAACCAAACCACATGTCCCTGTACGGATGAATGGATTGAAAAACTGTGGCACATATACTCTATGGAATACTATTCAGCCATAAAAACCAACAAAACCCTGGCTTTTGACAGAAAGTGGAAGAATATGGAAGATTTACTGCTGGATTAAGCAAGCCAGGTTATGAAGGAGAGACATTGTATGTCCCCACTTAATATATACCAAGTGTCTGCACTCTATGATTGAAACTGATTGACGTAAAGTTGTACAAACACAAGAGATAGGGGTGAATGCCAGATGTGGAGTGTGTGGAGGAGTGGGGCCTAAGGAAGAACATTTGGAGGAGGGATACAGAGGCAGAGCATTGACGGGATGGGGAGGTGTGGCGTTATCAGTTGAAGATATTTTGATCAACTGGACTGGGGAGAGACGTTCACATATTGAAATGTTCACTTTGTAAGCTAAATAATGTGATTGAATGTATATTAAAAAATAAATTTAAAAAAAATGACATTCCGGGAACAGCAGTTAGCATAATGGCTATGTTGCGGGACGTCCATGTAGTCGACCACGGTTCGCGTCCCAGACCCGGTGGCTTAAAAACTCACACTGGGCACGTGTGTGTGCGTGCCCAAGATCCCAAGAGGAGAATGGAGGAGAAGGGATTGCGGCATGGCCATCCCCCCTGGGAGGTGATTTTTCACTTTCTGTCTCTCTGTCTATCTGGCGAGCACACGCGCCCTATAGCAAAATCCTCTCAAAAAAAAAAAAAAAAAAAGACATTACACAGAAGAGTAGCTATTGTTTGCTATTTGTTTCGAGGCAAGAGTTCCAATATTTTGTCGGCTATCTAACTAAACACAACTCTACTAAAAGCTGCTTGCAAACAGAAGGTATTTACTAACTGACCACTATTCCACTTTTGTAAATTGCCTGCTTTAACAGATTGCCAGTCTCTATAAGAACTACTGAAGGTTACTAGTTGTTTTACAACTTTTCTGGATTCCTTTGTCTGCAACATCCATAAACTCTGACTATATAACTCCTGGAACTTCCCCAAGTTGGAGCCCAGACTTTGGAGTACAAGCTCCTCTGGGTCTGCCAGTGTAAAAAACCTGAGTTCTCCTACTCTCTGAGTGGTGCTTTGTGGAGAATGGCAATTCTGAACAAACATGGTGACCTTCAGACACATGCAGAAACATGGTTCCATGAGCTTCATTTGCATAGGAATAAAACCATTTGCATGTGAATATGCTAACTCCCTGATAATGCAAACAGTATCTGTCTAAGGAAGTGACATGTATTACTCCAATTTCACCCCAACAGATCAAAGAACCCACGTGGCTCTAGTCATTTTTACATCATCAGCTGATTAACATCCAAAACAACTGACTTTGTATCCTATTTCCTCTTCCCTCATTTTCTCCTCTATAAAATAATAACCCTGAGGCTGGTTCAGGGTCATTGCTTTCTCCAACAAAGAAGTCAGGCCCATTCGATCTTCACTTTTCTATACTTGTATGTCTTTGTGTGTTTATTTTTATGTTTATTCTAATCTACATCCCCCATACACAGAAAAACATGTCCTGCCAAGCAGATCCTGGCAAAGTGGCACCTCAACCTGTGGCCCGAGTATAGAGGATCTACAAAAGGTCAGGTGAGTGGACATTCTTTGAGGTAAGTGGGAGATAATTAAGTAAGTAAGAAACCTATAGAGTAAAATAAAAAATGGAGTAAAAGATAACAAAGTAGAATTAGGAGAGAACAGAGTAATATTAGGAGATAATAGAGCATGTGAAGGAGATTTTATTAGTGTGGACATAAAATATGAGGACATGGTTGTCTAAAGATAGAGATATGTATGTCCAAATGTTGCTTTATATGTTAAAAGCTAGGTCAATAAAATTAGTATCAAGTAATTATATCAGTTTCTGAATTTTGTGCAGGAAACATGCCCTTGGTTCCCAGAGCAAAGGATAGTTTATGAGAAGACCTGGAACAAAGTTGGAGAACAGATCATGGAATGATATACAACAGAGGGTCCTAGCAGGATATTCATTTTTGCCTCCTCCCTGTAGAATTTTATTAAGGAGTGCTTGAGACAAAACCCTCTGGAAGAACCCAAAGTTGACTTAGTAACTCAACTTAAAAAACATCCTGGGAGAGAATACATCCCTCCTACCTAAGAAATCAGACTCTGTAACTAAAGACAAGAACAAAGATAGAGAGGTAAGACCTAGTAATAAAAAAGACTAGCGCCATGTGGTTTCTCTGATCTTTTGGGGTGAAATCTGACTAACACATGTAGCTTCCAGACAGATAGTGCTTTGCAGAATCTGGCAGTTAGCATATCTGCATGCAAATGCTTTCATTGCTATGCAAATGAAGTTTACAGAACCCAGTTCTGCATGTGTCTGAAGGTTACCATGTATGTTCAGAATATTCACTCTCCACAGTGCTTGGTTTCTCAACAGTAGCACATGAAAGGGATTACAAGTGTACAATTGCAGTAATTGATAAGAATGCCTTTTAGCTATCACCTCCAAGTGTTAGTGCCCCCTGAAATGAACTTGTTTCTAAGGAATACCAGAACTGCAGAGTGCAAGACAATTGCATCAAGGGAGGTGAACAGATCTCCTGGATCCTAGAGGGAAATTGTGCCACTAAGCAAGAACATTTGGACAATGACACAGTGACTGTCTGGAGCACTTGACACTGGTGCTCACAGACATAGCAATGTGTCTGCTGTGACCTGCTCTGTGTCCCATTCAGCCAAAGTTAAAGCATCAAAAGTATTCTATATTCTATGTATTATCCTTCCTATTGTCATGGTCCAGAGTAAGACCCAGAAGACATTATCTTAAGAAAAAAGGAAGTTTTATTGAGAGAAAGAGTACCCAGGGATCTGAACCTGGGGTGCCTCAACCCACCTCCCTAGAGGGAGGGAGTTTCTTTTATAATCCAGCTATTTTGGGAGACTGTATGCATGACTGATTTGCAGGAGAATTAGGCTCAGTGGGATAAGCATACATGAAACATCTGGTGAGTCTTTGTGATCCATGTCTAGGAATTTAGACTTCCCAGTACTCACTTTTGGCTTTTATCTGCTACTTTCTGGGTCAGTGTGACCTTACAGTAGTAGTGTCTGGAGTGGGGGCTCTTGCCAAGACCAATTATGCAGAAGTTTGGCCTTGGTTCCTTGTCAGACCTTAAGTAATACCAAATGGTACTCAGAAGTTTTTTTGTATGGCATCTTACACCTATTATTATTTTGCTCATTATGGGAT